CCAAAACAAAACATTTCAAAGCCCAGTGAACGGAGCTATTCTAAAAAAATCCAAGGAACCAAAAAACCATTTCACCAAACTTGATTAAAAATAAAATTGAATAATAAAGCAATTGTATAAGTTGCTGGAAAAACAAAATAATAAAGTAATTGAATAACTTGATGGTAAAAAAAGGCTATCACTATACAGCAAATATGTACACTATTATTTATGTCTATACGGCTACAAATGTGATGACGTAATATTCGTGTTCAAGGTTTTTGACATGATAATGGTTGCTTCTACAATATTCTGATAATATAATTTCTATACTTGCAGAAAACATTAAAATGAAATAAATAGAGCAGACAGATGACTTACAGTTGAGTATATCTGGAGCAGATAAATCATAGATAGGGTTTTACGACATTTTACATCCATCATTTTACTGCCGATCATATGACTGAGAAAATGTGACTGCCGGTGTATTTTACTGCCGGCAAAGATATGCAGCAATTAATATACACTCTTGCATTAATTATCTATCTGATCTACATATGCTTACATTAATTACTATAATTTATCTTCTCTACACATTCTTTTATTAATTATCTATAACTTACCTATCTGCTCTACACGTTCTTAGATGAATTACCTATAACTTTTCTACTCAAAATATTCTTACATTAATTATCTATAACTTAACTATCTGATCTACACATGCTTACATTAATTACTATAATTTATCTTCTCTACACATTCTTTAATTAATTATCTATAACTTACCTATCTGCTCTACACGTTCTTAGATGAATTACCTATAACTTTTCTACTCAAAATATTCTTACATTAATTATCTATAACTTATCTGCTGTACACATTCTTGTATTAATTATCTATATCTGATCTTTTTGAAATAGCCCAAGACACATATTGAAACAACTGTTCAGTACAATCTGAAAATTCAAGTTATGCAAATAATTTAACCTAATTTGCACACTTCCAATATGGTCACCATATTTGAGAAATTTGTAGTTATTCTTTTTCTTCTGATTTGACACAAATAAATCATTTAATTTAAAAAAAACCATGCTGAGAGTAATTATTTATCTTTTGATATATAGTATTTATTGTTCGGAACCACTTTAAATAGGTAAACTGTCAGCTTTATGGCAGTTTTTTGGAGGTAATATGTGAATACAGATAATGAATGAATAAAACAACTACACATAATCAGTTTCCCTTTCCTCATGAACACAAGACTGTCACTTTTTTTGAGATAGGACAGCAAGTTTCAAATCTGCCAACATGCCATGATAGTTCACATTCACTGTACCACCCAATCCCAAGGACACACTAATGTAATAACTGTCTACATACAGTTCATACCCTTTGCCAATGTATGGTTCCATCATATTCTGAATAAGACTATGATGAGTAACTGATACATCATCATCATCCTCATTTGCAACATTTTCATTTTTAGATGCACAGAGTGACCATTCAGAAATGTATCTACTTTTTGACTCTGATAATACAAAAGCCGGTTTCTTAGGGTTATACTGTTTCAAAACACTTTGCTCGTTGAATGTGATTATCATTTCATTCAATGTCAATTCCTTTTTTGGACCAAATGGTTGTACAAGTTTGAGAATTATCATGTCTGTCAATAGATGCACTTTAAATAACATGTCATGAGAAATTAAACTTCTGACAACTTGATCATTATTGTTTGCAAAGTAAAGGAAGCTCAAGATCAATTTAAATCTTCCATAGTAAGAACATGGCAGAAACCAGGAGTGTCAATAAGCCAAAATGTGTCCCAGTAGTCTCGGGTTTATCAACTAAGCCCATTGCAAGGTGCAAAGCAAAAAACGAAGTTCCTAGGCACCCATTTATGAAATCATGAATGTGGTTTCAAATCATCATCTTTCCATTGTACAAATTGAGCAGTATAGAGGTTTGTTTCAGTTACACTGTGATCAAACACAGCATCATCCAGGAATAATTGCAAATAATTGATAGGATCTATATAATTTAGATTTTGGTTGCCACTGTGCCCTATATTTCTATCATCAAAGTTGAAAATCCAAGTTGGAAAATGTTCATTACTCACCACCAACCTCCATCCATCATTATTTGTACCAGCAAGAATATGCCAAGCTTGATTGCCATGAACAAGTTGACCATGCCCACATGTAGGTTGTTCTGCCCTACTAGGTCTAGCCCTAAGTTTGGCCCTGGGAGGATGTGTATGTGTAGTTGTACATCCACCCTGAAATTTGGCCTTTTTAGATACTGGAACCTTATAATCACTGTTACTGTCAGTGTCACCATCATCACTTTTCCCTATGCCCCAGCTTTGGCATTACTACTACAAGTATCCACATCAGTACCTGTCATATCATGTTCGAAATCATCATCAGATAATTCAGGTTCAGAAACAGAATCATTGTCAACTTGGAAAAGTTCAATTGTCTCTTCAAGTGTGAAAACACTGGAGCAATTTGATGTCATTATGGATGTTTTCTCATAAAAATTAAATAAATTTCAACTACAACTACTACCAAGTTTTTTTATATCAACATATGCCAAGTTGGAAATGAATTGGCAACTGAGATTGTCATCTGTGCAGATTAGGCTTTGTCTACTGATTTTGTATGCTCAATGTGTATCTCTAGCAGAAAATTCAAAAAGCAGAATGTGGTTGCCATACCTATCTATGCACTTGACAGATTCCTACATTGATAATGAATAACTTCTCTATCTGCTCTACACATACTTACATTAATCATCTATACCTTATCTATCTCTATACACATTCTTTTATTATTTATATAAATGCACTACACATTCCTACATTAATTACCTATAACTTATCTATCTGATCTACACAGTACTGCATTAGTTATATATAGCTGCTCTATGCAGTCTTGTATTATCTAGAACTTATATATTTGATCTATACATTACTGAATATCCATAGCTACTCTATCTGTGCTCCACACTCTTCAATTAATGTTAAGTAATTTATGTATCTGCTATAACAATAATGCATTAATTATCTATATCTT